CATAGTTGGTTGAGGCTCAAGATGCAGAGCCCACATACATGGATGGCTAGCTAGAGAGGGTATACATTTTTATCTATATTAGGAAAGACATCCATAGAAAGGTTTTTGTTTGACTGTCTCTCTTCCAATCCTAGGCTGACATGATCCCAATTGTTTGATGGTGCACATTTGTAACGTATATCTGCAGAATGTGTGTTTGAACATGGTTAGAAGCTGATTTTCCTGCTCCTACATACCTAAACACAAAGCCTCATTCATTTGTCCACATTAGATGGCAGTAGTCATTGTTTGTGTTTCACTCCTGGCTAGGCAAGAACTTAAACAAATGAAGAAGAATTTAGGTTTTTAACTTGTGTTTTTATTTTTAGTTTCAAACATTTATTCAGTGATTCTGACATTTGTATCGTTGGAGAATATGTAGGAAAGCAAGTAGGGATAGTTTTGTAGATAAAGATGTTGAAGGATGCTTTCCAGAAAGAGTTCAGTAGAAGGAGCATGCATGTACAGTGTGCTGCTACTTCTCTGTGGAAATGTGTGTGTGAGATACAGGTTCCCAGCGGGGTGCATTTAGAGGAGAGCTCACCAATGAGTCTATGGTAACCATCACTAAGTATTATTACTGTGGGTGGCTTTTATGCTCACTTTGCCCATTACATTTTTCCTGTTTTTTCTAAAAGTCATGTTTTACTTTTGTAATTAGTAACAATTTAAAACATGATACATATTGTGGAAAATGCAAGTAGCAAAAGTTTTGTTTTTTAAGAGAATCATTTTCAGCAGAGTCTGTCAAAGAGTGTATTTTCCTGGTAAAATCTAGTGTTGATGGCAATAATCACTGCCATTTACCCCAGGCTTATCTCAGGGTATAATTAAATACTAAATATTTAAATGAAAATTGACTTTAGTAAACAAAATAGCAAGGTGGTGAGGTTCTTAAAGCTTGAGACTGTGAAAGGCAATGTGAACACAATAATCAGTCCTGAGACCTTGATCTCAGGGAAATGTCATGTTAGTTTCCTGGGGGCTTCTGTCACATTGTGATCAGGTGATGATCCAGTTTATTTATGTATTTACTCTTAAAAGTTTGGCACCTCTCAGGAGGAGGGGCCAGGGGGATCAGTTCAGGGCCTTCCTCGGCTACACAGTGAGTTCTAGGCCAGGCTAGGCTATATGAGAGCTTGTGTCAAAACAATACCCTCTGTACCCCCAGCAAAACAAAGAGATATGTTATTTAACATACTGTTGGTTTATTAGCATCATCCAACCACACTATAATAATGTTTGCACAAAGCTTATCTAACACACAGGCTTTCTCTATAAGTCACACTGTAAGCCTTCATGAGTTTAGGAACACTAGACAACATTTTAATGCTATAGGTAAGGACCATTTTAAAGGGCAGAATCATTGACCAAAAGCACAAAAATGCAGAACATGTGACATTGGATAGGCCATGAAAGTGATACAGGTTTACAGTGTCTGAAACAAAAGGTCACATATTGCCTTGTTTGACCTTAACTAGGAACATGTGTATTGGACAATTTGAAGTTTTAGAAATTCTACACATAGCTGTGACTGTCTGTGAACAGCTATGAGTATTGGTTTTGGAGTTCAGCTAACTTTTAACAAGTGGTGAATTTGCAAGTACAGAGGTTTTGCATAATGAAAATGACTGTATCCTTTTCCCTGTGTTCCCTGTCTTTAAATGAGATGCCATCAAACAATTGACCCAGGTGAGAAATGCTGTGTGAGCTCTTTCTGTTCTTTGTCACCATATCCACTTGTGCATGTGCCTTCTAAATGCATCTCAGATCTGTCTTTTTTTTTTTTTTTTCCTGGAGGGAAAGGCAGGGTCTTGTCATGTAGTCCGGCTTGGCTTTGACCTTATGATTCTCATGCCTGCCAGGCTTCCCAGTGCTAGGACAGGAGGCATGTGCCACTGTCCTCGTTTCTCACTGACCTCTTGGAAACTCATTTTTCCTTTTTTCATTCTAGTCTCTATACTCGAGTTCTAAAATGTAGGAAGTTCTTCCTGTCATTACAGCTATTGACAAATAATTAACAAATTCCTGTAGCTTTGTCTTTTGCTATCCCAGCACCTCATCACGGAGAGCTTCCTTTAGATTCTTAGTTTGTATGATGGGCTGTTTTCTTTGAGTCTCAGTATATGTACTTCTAGGAATATTGATTTACCTGGCTTCCCTTTCTCACTAATTTTTCAATTAGTATAAAAGTTAGGTTCCCCCCAACCCCAGACATTTTCTGCCAATAAACTAACCCCTTCTATCCCTTCTTTTTCTTCTCCCTCAAATCTGTAGAATCTGTGATTCTGAGTTTGGAGCTGAACTGAAGCCCCATGTGACTCATCTAGAGGCCTGTTTCTGAATGGGGAGGCATTCCACCACTTACTCAAACTAGACTGGTCAAATGCGTACTTCTTGAATTCTGTCTTTAGACAGCAAGTTGACAAAATTGGCAGAAGGAGTACAATTATTAAAGGTGAATTATTTGATAGCCACCAGGAAAAATCCAACTCATTTTTGTAAATTGGGAAACTGGACATGTTAGATAAGGTGATCCTTTTTCTGTTGAAGGAATATTAGAAAGGAAATGAATTTGATTTTTATATAGAATTTTCTCTTGTATATTTTCTATCATTTATAAGAAAGAAACCAAATTAATGCCTGATGATCTAATTAGAATGGAGGCTTTCCCTAAATTTACAGTTAAGTGTATCTTGGCTCTGAAGGATGTTAAATATGTGATGTCATACTAATATAATAAAGGTCATTTAGGGCTGTTAACCTTAAAATGAAAAGCCCTTCAGTGTATACAGCATGTAATTGACATTTAACAACACCACTATCCCATGAGTTGGTGACAAATAGGGAATTTAACTTTAGCAAGTCAAATGGAAGCTTCCACTTGTAACTTATTAATTCGAATAATTTCCTTCCTCATTAAGTGGTAGATGAATAGAGTGATGAAATAGTCATGCTAATATCTGATTTCATTTTATAAATACTTATAGTGATAATCACTATAGCAGGCTAAGATGTTTGATTTTGAGGAAACAGGGCTTAAAACCATGACCCAGGGGTCAAGTTCACCTTGTACCTGTATCTATATAGCCTGTGGACTGAAACTGAGTTTGACATTTTTAACATAAAAAAGTAGTATTTCATGACAGGTGAAAATTACAATATTCTTATTTCAGTTTCTCCAACTAGGATTTTTAGGTAGATGCCACATTTCTTTATGGGTTGTCTGCACCTATCTTAGCATTGCAGTGGAACGAGTGAACAAGCTGCTGGTCAGCCTGGAGGGGCATTGCCCTTTTTACAGAAGGTGTTTGCCCACTCTCAAGCTGGTTTATGTTTGTGTGGTTGTGACTTAAGTTAATATCCCTAGTTCAGGTAGATGATAATATAACAAAGAAGTCATGCTAAATAGGCTTCTTCAACTTTTCAGCTGGTGGAAGAAAATACCCTAGGTAATTGCTTGAATAGAGACTGCAAGAGGTGGACAGTGGTTTTTCTTGTTTATTTTTTAAAAAGTAAGCACTTGTATAAATGCTTGTTATTGATTAGGCACTGTTCTAGGAGCCTTATAGCTCATTAAGTACATGTAGCAGCTTCACAAGGTTGACATCTCCAGAAATGAAAAGGATACTGCACAAGTGCAAATGAAATGAATAGATAGTGAAACTACCAGCAGTGAGTCAGAGAGAGCAGTTACATTGGTAGGAAGGGTAAAAAAACACTGTTAGAATGTAGCCACCTGGGTCTAAAACAATGCTTTGTCTCTGTGGGATCTTTATGTTTGAGCCTTGGGTTAAGAATATTTAGTCACAATGAAACATGTTATTACAAAACCCTCTCAATTTGTACTATCTTCCTAGAGCTGCTGTAACAAGTACCACAAACAACAGAAATTTGTTCTATACCAGGTCTGGAAGCTTGAATTACAAATTAAAAGCATTTTGACATCTTAGAGGCCACACACCCTTTGAGACTATGGGAAGAATCTTCTTTATTTCTTCCTGGCATCTGTGGGTCCCAGCAGTTCTTGGTGCTCTAAGTCTGTGTTGACCCACCTGCCTCTTTCAGTACATGCCATTCTCCCTGTCTGTGTCTTTTTGATCTCCTTTTTGGAGGATATCATCCATAGTATACTAAGACCCACCCTCCAGTAGGCATGATCACACAATTGGATTGATTGTTCCAGCTAAAACATTTAGAGATTCTGGGAAGGATGTGGGTTTGGGGGAGATACTGTTCAACCCAGAACAGAACTTGTGAGTGTAGAGTTCATGAGCCAGATATTGTTCAGAGCACCACTCATGATGTGTTCAGAAAACCTACCCAGTGTGTTTCCCAGGAGAGCTGTCAATGTCGCCAAACACATCTGTCATGTCACAGTGTCAAAAGGTTGGACACCACCCCTGCCTGGGGGAAAACTGGAAATTATATATCAAGAACATTGAGGGATTGTCTCTTTTGTTCTTGTTCTGTCCCTTCTTGGTAACACTCCACCTGAGTAAAGGATTTACCATCCTCAGCTCTCGCCTTTCACACTTTTTGTTGACCCTTTGATCATGAGTGATTTGAAAGCTGGCTTTCATTCTGGGTATTTTTCCTTCTGAACTGTTTTATTTGTTTTTAAAGGGACATTTTCTTGCTTACTGTAACATTTTAAGGTTGTTTGTTTTACCTTCATTTTTATGAATTTGTGATTATTGACTCAGAAAACAGCCTTGGTGTGCTGAAGCTTGTGTTCTGACCATGTAAAGGTCACTCCTGCCTATCCTTTCTGGGTTTGGTGATGAGGTTTAATGAATAGTCATAGTTGTTTTTATTATCTGTGCTTATTATCATTATTACAATAGTAGGTTTTTAGATATATGGTCTTCTTCAAATTCCATACCTGAAGTCTACTACATTCTTTTCAACTTCAAGGATAATTAATTCAATTATATTATTTCCTCCTGCTTGTTTTACAGGGTGCCCGAGAAACGTTTGAAAATTACTACCGAAAACAGAGGCGAAAACAGGCTCGTTTGGTTCTCCAGCCTCCCTCAAACATGGTAGGCTTGCTACTTGCATTTTCTGTACTTTTACCTTTTCCTTTCTGGTAGCTGAACATGTATGCATGTGTGCATCTGTGTCTGTGTGTGTCTGTATGCTTTGTATGTGCAGCTGCCTGAATCTGCTTGCTGTCAGTCTGACACAATTTAGGTGTATGTGCCTTGAAGTAAGAATAGCAGTAAACATTCCTTGACTGTTATGTGCCATCCATTAATCTGAGTTCTAGGCATGTATCAAGTTAGCTCATTCCCATTTTTATCATCCAGAATCATGGCATTATCATTATGTTTACCTCATAGTCTATGAGATTAAGCTTCCTGAGAATAAGCAGCTGATTTTTCACATCTTAAAGTAATAACACAGAAACAGTAATTTTGCTTTCTTTGTTGCAGCATGAAACTTTAGATGGCTACAGGAAGTATTTCAATCAAATTGTAGGGTAGGTACATATTTAAGTTTCTATACTTAATTTGTAAGACTCATAAAAGATATACCTTTACTTGGGAAATTTTCTTCCATTCTTTTTGGCAAATTCAAAAGAAAAGACTTAGTTCTTATCTTCTTATAATTTAGAAGGAACATCTCCTGGGTCATAGTAACACACACATGTAATTCAGTGCTTGTGGAGTTTGTGAAAGGAGTGTCATCCTGGGTTGCATAGAGATATGCTGTTTGAAAAATAAACAACACTTACAGCTTACTGTTTTCAGCATTATATTCTTGGAGGGTATTTTTGTGGCAAAAATAAATGAAAATGGACTCACAATGTTATTATTACTTGATGTTTTGTTTCTCCATTCTTTGTTCTAATATGGAACGAGATAATCAGACACAGTGGCAGAATTTTTCCAGACAGTAAAATATTATAGGCCTAGAAGAATTTAACAACTATATCTCAACTGTTTGGGTGTTTGCCAGTCTGAAAACAGCTACGTATGATTCAGAAATCTGTGAATAAGACTATGTTACATTAAAATAACTTTTATTAAACAAGTTGCTGCCAGGCTGGTCCCACAGGATGGGATGCAGTGATTGCTCTCATCAAGAGTGGACATAGTAGTGTAGAATTAGGGTTACTGAATAAAGACCCCCTCCCCATATTCAAGCAACTTATTCCAAGTATGAGATGACAACTGTAGTTAAAAGAAAGGCAACAGAATTTGATTATTTCATAGAGCTTGCCTGCCCACTTCTTCCTCCTTCCCTCACTTTTTCTCTGGCTTTCTTTCTTGTTTCCTCCCTTACTTTCTTTCATCATCAGATTTATATTGCTTCAGTGTAATGAGTAACTCTCATTATGCTTATCATTGAGGTTGAAGGATATAGCTACTGTTATAGTGATTGCCTAGCATGCATGGGTTTGATCCTCAGCACTGCATAAGACCAGGTGTGGTGGCACACATTTATAATCCCAGCACAGGGGACATGGGGGTTGGAGGATCAATAGTTTAAGGTTATCTTTGACTACACAGACAGTTTAAGGCCAGCCTAAGCTCCATGAGACATGAGACCTTGGTGTGCTTGATTTTTGGTAATTTAAAAATCCCCTAATTTAGTTGTCTTTTGATTTGATTGATCAGAAAGGTAACCCAAGATATGTTTTAAATGTATACTAAGCCACAACAAGGGAATTTAAAACATAAGTTTATAATTAAAAAAAAAATCCCAGCCTGAGTTTTTATTTTGAGGCAAGGTTCTATAAAGTTATTTTTAAAACTCATTCTGTCTCTTAGGCAAGGCTTGCTTTAGCCTCCTGAGTTACTAGGGTTATAGGCCTGATTTGCAGAATTGTTTTGATATATATTATGTTGAATTCTTAACAGCCTATAAATTTTAGTGTTTATTGTCTCCTTAAAATTAGTTTCTTGTATTCTAAAACTACATTGGAAGTAGGCTGTATGAGCTATATATACTTTACTCTTTCACATTGTTGTGCTGTGTGGTTGACATTGATTAGAAATAAAAGTTCAGTCTTGGTAGTGTCTAAGATATTAATACGATTGTAGATATGTTCTCAACATGTCAAGTAATTTCATTTATTATAATTAATAGCTTTCTTCAGAAAAAAAATCCCTCTTGAGTTAAATGGCAGCTATTAATGTCAAAGCTTAGTGGTCAAGCTATAGCAACTGTAACATCTGACATCTGTGCTTTCGTTTCTTCCCAATCTCAGCTTTTTTGTTGTTGAAGATCACATTTTGCATACAACCCAGGGCTTAGTAAATAGAGCCTACATTGATGAACTGTGGGAAATGGCACTTTCAAAGACCATCGCAGCTTTGCGCACCCACTCGGTATGTAGGATGCCCCAGAATATGCTTACTTACCACTGAGAATTTGCATGCTGATTTCAAGTTGACATATATATCTTTGGCAACCCTTATTGGGAGATTGTAGAAGTGGTTTATTTAGATTTCTGAGTTCTGCAACACTGAGCTTGCCTTGTTAATGCGATCTGCAATAAGAAACAGTCACTCACACTGTCCATAATTCTTTGTTTGTTCAGCAGTGTTCTGTGTATTTCATACACTTCATTCTCAGTGAGTACAAAGTGACGTTATCATTAGTACATTTGTTATGTGCTTCATATTTATTCATTCAGAAAATACCTCATGTGCTATATACATTTATACATATAGCTAAAGGATTGCTGTAGTAAATGTTATGATCTTTGCTGCTAGCTCTACAGTTGACCTTCCTGTCTGCTTGCCTAGGCTAAGATGTCTAGGCTTTTGCTGGCCAAATACCTGCTAAACTTAACTCATAGAAGGTAGTACAAGCAGGATAGTGGACAGTTTATCAAAACCTTTAAAAAGTCAAATTGTCTCGTTGCTAGCTGCTCATCATTTCTTGAACACTTGCCCATAGTCCTTCACTGTTCCTGTTCCTTCTGTCAGGAATACCACTTCATTGATATTTGCATAAAATAAGACTTCGTTAATTTATAAGTTTAATTTAGTCACAGTCAGTGTCTCAGTAGTTTTATTAGTGGCAGGGTGGGTACCTTACAATTGAATGTATAATATAATATTTTAAGCCAACAAGTAAGAACTTACCAGATCTAAAAACAAAGTCTGTTAATCAAAAAACTACAAGTGAAAAATAAGGAAAGAGGTGAAAATGATTGCCATTGAGGTCATAAAGTTTCCTGAGTAGGAGCAATGAGGTTCATTGGTGAGCATATCTGAAATGTTCCTGCAAATGGCTAATACTCACTGGGACTGGTACAATTATAGTTACAGCTATTACCTTTTGTGTATGTGTTCTATTCATAACATTAAAGGATATAAAACAGAAGAAAATAGTGGAAAGACACCAAAAGAAAGCCAAATCCAAGATAAAAATAGTTCTTTGAAAATTTATGAGCATCAGATGAAGAAATTTAATTCAAAGACTGCATGCCATTTCTTGATCAAAAGAGGTGGAAAATACGAGAGGAATAGCTAAGAAACATGGATAGTAACAGAGACTTTGGAATATAGCTGATTGAGATTGAGAAAATATAGTGTCCGACAAGGGGCCTGTAGTAATAGAATAGTAAAGTAAAAAGGATTCATTGAGTGACAGCCAGGAAACTCACAGAAAATCCAGATGGACAGACATGCAGACTCTTCATCATATCTATCACATCAACTAGGCCGATGACAGTAATTTACACTCAGAAGTATTTAATGCACACTTCAGATTATTTCAAATAACAGGCTTTAATGCCCACTTCAAGGTAATTAAAAGATCTTATCCAATAAAACACATGGTAGGAAAATTGGGAAAAATAGAAACATATAAATAGAAAACTTAAAATAAGGTGGCCTTATTGTCCATTTATGTCAATAACCCAGGAAGTGTAGGAGAGGTAGACCATGACAGTGTCTTGGGCATTTTTTTTTTTTTTACATAAGGAGAAGCAAACAGTGTAGAAAGCAAATAAAGTAGAAGAGTTCCAACAGCAGGATTGGGGCTATTTTGTATTGATACTAGTTTTGACACCAAAAAGACAAGGGTTCTTTACAAGAGACAGTATACATAGAAGAAAAACATATGGGAATAGGAGAAACTCACATACGTCCTCATTATGGGGACACTTGACATATTGCCTGAGAGGTTAGATGGAGAACATATAACAAAGTTATAACTGAGGTAACTGGAACATCAGAATTGATGAAATTTTTAATTAGTAGTGTATACTCTAACTTTTGTTTCCTGTTTATTTATACTTATTTTATAACCCTTGTACTGTTTAATACCTTTTTTCTGCATTGTATAATTAGACTTACCTAAGATGCCTGTATTACTGATTCCATGTTTATCTGGTTTAAATGATCAAATCTTTGTCTTTTTTACATCACCAGTTTGTCATTTTTAATTTTCTTCATTTCATTTTATTATATAATTACGGTTATTTGGCATTATTTTCAATAATGTCATTACTGCAGTGCTTGGTCAAGTTATTTCCAGTCTTGTTTTTTTTTTTCTGATGTTTACATAAAAAGAAAGATAAACAGTTATTTTGAAAATGTCTTTAGGCACACAACTTTTGATACAAAGTGTTTCATTGTTGCTCATTTAAAAATAATCTATCCATTTTGGTTTCTTTAAAAAATTTTTGTATTTTAGTTGATTGCTGAGCCATCTTGTTGGCCCCATTTTGTTTTCTTCTTTAATGAATTTCAAAATGTATTTCCACATGTTAAAGATTTAGATCATCATACTGAACCCCACCTCCTTAGTTCTTCTGTGGTTGAGTCTATTGTTACCTTGTGCTAAGAAATGGTTAGACTCCTCCAATAGGTAGGTGTCTTTACCAGCTGGTGCATTAGACAATGTCATAGTAAAAATGTTATTTTTCATGAGATATTTTTCTCCCTTTTCCCCTTTTCCTTTAGTCCTACTGTTCTGATCCAAACCTTGTATTAGATTTGAAGAACCTCATTGTACTCTTTGCTGACACACTTCAGGTATGTGTGTTGTTGACACTTGCCTTTCTGGAATAGAATTCCATTAGCTATGAATTACTGTGTTCAATCTCAAGCCTGGCTCACTTCTTTGAGTTTTTAGTGTTTATTCTTTTCCTAGAGCTAGATATTTCTACTTTTTTTATAACAATAATCAAGGCTTTATCTTGACTAGTTACGCTCTCTTAAATAGTTCCTACTCCTTTTTTCCCCTCAGAGGAAAAAAATGCTTGCACCAACTGAAAAATTAGACTTTTTAAAAATGTTTGTAATTCCCTCATGGAGCAGAAAGGTTGAGTCAGGTGAAGAATAGAAGAAAGGGTATGTGATAGGTAGGGTTTTGGTTGGGGGGGGGTGGTAGGGGAGGACGGGAGGGAGAAGGGAACTGGGATTGTCATGTAAATCAATCTTGTTTCTAATTCAAATAAAAAATGATAAAAAAAAGAAACAAAGTGCCAACAACAACAAAAAAATGTTTGTAATTCCAACATAGCACTGATGTACCTTGTAGTGTGTTCCATTACCATCTTTTTAGTAATGCTTGGTTTGAACCGTGTTAGAGTAGCGTTAGGTATTAGTGAGATGGTAGCAGCTGCACTTTCTCTCTTTTCTTGGAGAATTGCTTTGGGCAGTCAGTTACCATAGGGGGAACTCACCCAAGAGTATATGTTGGTTTAAATTTTTACCATTTGCCTTTTGATGACCAACCTAGGAATTTTGATGTGTATCTTTGAAATTTTGAGAGCTAAACACTAGATATAGGTAGAGATGAACAATTTGGATGTCATTTTTTCATTGCTGTTTAAATAATGAAACATTTTTGGCACTTAATCTTACTTTTGTTTATTTAAAAAGTCTCCTCTTAAAACCAATCTATTATCTTTCAGGTGTATGGTTTTCCTGTAAATCAACTTTTTGATATGCTTTTGGAAATCAGAGACCAGTATAGTGAGACTCTGTTGAAGAAATGGGCAGGGGTTTTCAGGTAAGTGGCTGCAGTTGTTAACCTTGTTCCTGTCCTTCCCTGCTCTATGCATATGCATTTTGGGGGAGATAAACAAGACTTTACAGATATAATGGGCACCAAGAGCATGAGGCTTATATTTTTCTATGTATTCCAATTTATGATTCAGAAGTCAGTTAAGTTGTAATGATTTGTAAAATGATCTTCCAAGGTATCCTGTGTCGATATAATAGTACCTGCTGTGTTGAGAAGGCCCCATAGCCTGTTTTTTATGTTTAGTTCCTTGGATAAAGGCAGATTTATTGGTTTACACCATCCAGATTAACTTGTCTTCTTACGCTATTTTATACTTTTTGTTTTTCCTGAAGATCATACTTAGTCTGGTAGTGGTAGTTAAGTCATCATGGATAGTAGAGCCTTAGGAAAATGTTTCATTTTACAGACAAGAGTCTTCTGTGTCCCAAGGTGACCTTGAACTCCTGATCGTCCCTCCTCCACCTTTTTTAAGTGCTGAAATTATTGGTGTGTCCTACTGCCTGGTTTACTTTGAGTCATTCACTTTTTGATAACTCACATTATTGCTCATCATTACTTTTTCATAAGCAGAGAACTGGCTTGTTGCAGTCCATATTTGAAGCATATTTAAGTAGTTATTGCAACATACATACAATAATGAGAAACTATTCTGCAACATTTCCTCCCAGCACAGGCCTCTTGGGACTATTTCTTTGGTATGCATCTCTTGTTGCAGGACATTAGTCAACAAACAAAGTCATAGCTTTTCTATATTCTAAGATCAAGCATGCTGAGAAAGAACCCAGGTTAACAATTCCCATACATCATCACTGTATCCTCTAATATACATAATGAACAACAAGGAACCTAGGAATAAACCTAACCACTGAGAAGAAAGACCTCCATAATGGGAAGTAAGCCCTCTGAAGAAGTGGAAGAGGACGCTGTTGGTTAGAGGACCTCCCTTGCTCCTGGATCAGTGGGGCTAGTATTATGGAAATGGCTCCACTGCCCAAAGTAATATACAGGTTCAGTGCAAACCACTTTGGAATCCCAGTCTCCCTTACCTCAAGAGTTCTTGCCCATTGCTTGTATCTCCTTGTCAGTTTATCTTGTTTTCAAGTTTACTTTTAAACCTTCACCCTCATCTTTTAATCTTAACTTCACAACAGTTCATGAGCATATCATTATTTAGTTAAATTCATCCATATATTAATGTAAACCTATATACTTCTATAATCCAGATATAGCTAATGCTGATAATTGCTTTTATGGTAGGGTTATCTCTGCAGGTAGTAGAGACAACATTGAATAGCCACAGCATTCTGTGCTTTCAGAAGACTCTCAAGGAGAGAGAACTTATTACTGGAAAACATTTGTGATTAGCAGAAGATAGAGAAGAAGAAACATAGTTATTTTTCTAGATGGGTGGTGGTGGTGCCCTTAGGAGGCAGAGGCAGGTGGATATCTGGGAATTTGAGACCAACCTGATCTACAAAGCAAGTCCCAGGACAGCCTAGGACTGTTACACAGGGAAACCCTATCTCAAAAAATCAAAAAAAAATTATTATTCCTCTCTATTACCTAAGTTAGAATATACTGTCTAGAACATAATTAAAACTGTGATTATGATCCAATATATCTTACTAAAATGATCAACTCCAATATTCTCTTCCCATTTACTTTCCACTTGCCTTTAATTCTCTGCCCATTTGTAAATCACAATCACAGACATTAGAAGGTCGTGTTTATAGTTGTTTTGCACTTGTTTCAGAGCTTAGTTGCTCTCTGATTTCTTTTTTAAATGCCCAAACCAAAATGGCTGAATTGTAGAAGTGTAGTAAGGACTGGGAGGTGTTTATTTGAAATTGTTGTAAATATATAATCATTAAATTGTCTCCGAAAGTCTCTTTGTTAAGTAACTATCCTCTTTTCCTCCCTCTCTTTTCATTTTCACTAGAAACATACTTGATTCTGACAATTACAGTCCCATACCAGTAACGAGTGAAGAGACATATAAAAAGGTTGTAGGACAATTCCCATTTCAAGATATAGAACTGGAAAAGGTAAGGGATACATTAAAGTAAAATATTCTCTCTCTCTCTCTCTCTCTCTCTCTCTCTCTCTCTCTCTCTCTTTCATTAGATTAATTTCTCTGAAACTGAGATACTTCAGGTCAATAGATTTTAAAACACTTTCAAAGAGTTTCCTCTGGGTCTTAGATGTACAGAATTAACCTCATTGGGCATCTGTAAAAGGCTTGGAGGTCTTACATATGATTAAAGTTTGTCAGATCATGGGAGTAATGCAATTTGGTTAAAATTTCAAATTCTTAATTTTGTTGTACAGCTAAAATAGTTTCTTCTAAAACCAGACATTTAAAATTTCTGTCTTTAGTATAATTGTATTGTTTTGACTGTGCATTTAGAGGTTTCTCCACAGCAAAGTTACAGTGCAGAAAAGTTTTCCTTAAGCAGCCCCTTTCTAACAAGTTCTCTGTTGCACTTAAGCCCTGCACATGACAAATGTGAAAATACAGGCTCAAGTATTATCTCTTGCTGTTTACAAAGTCACAGACACTTGGCATCATGTGGTTCCATGGCACATTGATCACGGGGGAAGTCAGGGCAAGATCTCATACAGGGTAGGAATCTAGATGTAGGAGCTGATACAGTGAATCCTACCGGCTTGCTCATTCATGGTTTGCTCAGCCTGTTCTCTTAGATCATGAAGCAGCTTCCCAGGTGTGGCATCACCCGTAGTGAACTGGACTCTCCCATATCCATCATCAATCAAGAAAATGCCCTACAGACTTGCTTATAGGCCAATCTTATGGATGCATTTTCTCTGTTAAGTCTGCTTCTTTCCATATGACCCTAGTTGACATGTTGACATAAAAACTAGCCAGCAGTTGGTCCCTTGTCAACTTGACACACAAACACATTGCTTATTAAGGCATAATTTTCCTTTCTTGTTTATCTCCCCAAATCACGTTAACATCAGTATCATAGTATAAAACATTCCAACTTTTAAAACTTCTGCAGTATTTTTAAAAATTCAGACTCTTTGAAATTTCAGTCTCTAAAACATCTAAAACTCTCTTTCAAATTCACAGTTTCTCTAGAATATCAAATGCTTCTCTAAATTGTCCAAAATATATAAAATTCCAATGTCTCTCAACTGTGGGCTCCTGTAAAATCAAATATAAGTTAAATACTTTCTTACTCCAAGAAGGAAGAACCAGGGCACAGTCGTAATCAAATCAAATAAAACCCCAATTTTCAACATTGTAAAAAGCCAGTGCTTGATGCTTCGGGCTCCAAAGGGTCAGGGATACTTCTCTGGCTCTGCTCTTTGCAGTATACACAGTTTGTTTCCTAGGCTCAGGCTGCTGCTTTCCTTAGTGGTTGTCCCATGTTAGTGGCATATCCAAAATATTGGTGTCTTTTCTGAAACTAGACACTCTCCTACAACCAATAGACTCCTCTGGGCTCTCTTCTGGGGACTCTGACCCTGCCACATGCTGCCAAGCCTTAATGTCTCAACATGACCCCTTCAATCCTGAATCTTCAACTTAAACTGAGGCTTCACATTCACCATTGGCCTCTCCTAACCTCTCATGTCAAACCATAGCTGCTCTTTGTTATCCTTTATGCCTTAAAAATCAATACCACCTGGAGGATTTTTACACATTACCAAGTTCAGCTGTCAGCATGTAGTACAGCCTTGGCTCCTGCTGGACCACAACCTCTATATGCTCTAATGAGTCCTTATCTGTCCTGCCAGTCAGCTCCCAAATAATGACAAGGAGACTTATTATTAATTATGAAAACTCGGCCTATAGCTTAGGCTTGTTCCTAACTAGTTCTGAATAACTTCAGTTAACTCATATTATTCTTTATTTTACCATGTGGCTTTTTACCTTTCCTTCTGTATGTCCGACTCCGTCATGTCTCTTTGGTGTCTCCTGTGTACTTAGATTCATCTCCTCTATATTTTCTCTCTCCAGAAATCCCATTATACCTCCTGCCTAGCTATTGGCCATTCAGCTTTTTATTATACCAGTCACAGCAATATACCTTCACACAGTGTACAAATACCCCACAACAATGTGCTGACCCTGAGAAAATACTCCCAGATTTATGTCCTCAGTGGTGCTGGTCTCTTCTTAATCATCACTAGTTTCTAGGTTCTAACTAACCAGCATAATTGTCCTGGTAAGACAAAGGTTTTTATTTAAGTAGTTTGGGCCCCTTTTTAAGTACAGCCCCAGGTGACTAGAATCACAGATTCTTAAGGCTCACCATATCAAATTGCCCTATTAGAGTCTGTAAGGGATTCCCAAACTTTCCTTTGAAACTTTTCAAGCCAGGAGTCCATCTTCTGCATTACTTTCAACATTCTTAACTCCTGAATTCACACAGTAGTTCACTAAGCTTCAAATAGTCAATGACTTTTTTCTAGTCCAAAATTCTAGATTCCTTCATGGTTCTCTGAATAAACACATGGTCAGCTCTGTTGCGGTCAAACCCAACAACTTGGTACCAGGTCTTGACTTAAGGTTTCTATTGTTATGATGAAACATCATGGCCAAAAAGCAATTTGGGAGAGGAAAGATTTTTTTCTGGCTTACAACTCTCAAATCTCAGTGCATCATCTTGAGAAGTAAGGGAAGGAACTCAAGGCAAGAATCTGGATCCTGAAACTGAAGCAGATGCTGTGAAGGACTGCTGCTTACTGGCTTGCTTGCTTACAGCTTACTTACCCTACTTTCTTATACCACCCAGAACTACCTTCCCACAGTGAGCTGGGCCCTCCTACATTAATCATGAACCAAGAAATGTTTTAGGGCTGGAAGATGGCTCAGTGGTTAAAAGCACTGTGGCTGCTCTTGCAGAGGACTCAAGTTTGGTTCTAAGCACACACATGGCAGCTCGCAACCACCTGTAACTCCATTTCCAGGGGATCTGACACCCTCTTATAGCGTGTTATACCCCCGGCCCACACTGAATTTATATGGTGTATATGCATACATGTGGGCCAAACACACATGTACATAAACTAAAATAGTAAGTGAATAAATAAAAATAATTAAAAAAGAAAATGTCCCACAGACTCACTACAGCTTAATCATATGGAGGCATTTTCTTGATTAAGATTCTTTGTTCCCAATCTAAGCAACAAAGGAGAGGCTACCTTAAATACCCTCCCCTGATAATGACATTGATGACTGATTTATATGCGACCTGATAGCCCTCATCCAGCAGCTGGTGTAAGTAGAAGCAGACACCCACAGCTGATCACTGAACTGAACTGGAATCCAGATACAAAGAGGGACGAGTGAAGAGAAAAGGGATCAAGACCAGGCTAGGGAAACCTACAGAAACAGCTGATCTGAACATCGGGGAGCTCTTGTTTCCCCAGACTGATAGCTGGGATACCAGCATAGGACTGATCCAGACCCCAGGAACATGGGTTTCAGTGAGGAAACCTTGGAAATCTAGGGGACCTCCTGTAGTAGTTCAGTACTTATCCCTAGCATAGGTGTGGACTTTGGGAGCCCATTCCACATAGAGGAATACTCCCTGAGCCAAGACACTCGGGGGTGGGCCTAGGCCCTATCCCAAAGGATATGATAGACTTTGATGACACCCATGGAAGGCCTCATCATCCAGGGGGAGCAGAAAGGATATGTGATTGGTAGGGTTTTAGTTGGGGGGAGGTAGGGGAGGACAGGATGGAGAGAGAACTGGGATTGTCATGTAAAACAATCTTGTTTCTAATGTAAATAAAAAATCTGCAGAGAAAAAAAGATTCTTTGTTCTCACATTAACCTTGTTTGTATCAAGTTGTCTTATTCTTTTAAGTATCAGAAATCTCTTGGAATTTTTTTTTTAACGTTTGATACTGTTAAGTCAATACTTCACAAAGTAGGACAATGCTGTTTTTTTTTTCATTTTAAATAATTTTCAAGTGTCTTCAATGGACTTAGTGACTTTCTTTCATTACTTCTTGCATTTGCAGCAGCCATTTCCCAAAAAGTTTCCTTTCTCTGAATTTGTGCCAAAAGTTTACAACCAGATTAAAGAATTTATCTACGCCTGCCTGAAGTTTTCAGAAGATCTTCATCTAAGGTATAACAGAAGACACTGGGAACCAGTCCAGTGCTGAATTTGATATTTCCTCTAAAATATATACTGTGTAAAATATTTGCTATTCCGTTAGCTATGAGTTTGGAAGCATTGGTATAGGCTTTCACTGTGGGACACTCCTCTTTATAGTTATGGCGGTAGGGAAAAGCTTTTGAATAACTAAAAAAAGTATATATTATTTTAGGAAATATCAGCAGATAATTACTGGAAATTCTAGTTTAATCTACTCACTTTACCATTCTGCTAGATAAAATTTTATAGTGAGATTAGAGCAATAACACAGTCTTTAGAAATAGTATTGTTGGTCTGCTAGCATGTCTGTCTTAATCACAGGCTTCTTTGTTTCTTTGCTCATTTATTGGTTTAGTCTGTGTATCTTTTGGCAAATATCTACTTAGGTGCTATTTAGTAGTAAAGGCATTAAGAACCTAAAAGAAGGCCTTTATCTCCAAGGAGGATTTTACCTACCCGAGGACTGGAAAACTAAAATTAATTGCTTCAGAAATTCAGGATCTACACAGCAGCCATACTGCTCAGGCCAAGAGTGCCTGAAAAGGCTCAACACTGTATCTGTACCTACACTTGGTAAACTTACAAAAATAATTAATGAGCAGAGCATATCTTATGTCCAGCTTTTCTGAAAATAAGTATAATTAGTAATTGGGTTGAGTCACTTCTCTATTAACCATTCTACTACTTTGGGTTGAATGTAAGTCTTCTGGTATGCTAGGCAAGTTCTCCACCAATGAGCTGGTCTCCAGCCTTTGTTACTTTAAGATACTGAGACAAGTTGCCCAGCACAACTTTGAGTCTCATCTGTAGCACATGCAAGCCTTGAACTTGCTTTCGGAAGAAAGCATTAGCCTCCTGTGTAGTGCAAAAAGCTCTGTTAATTATTGTTCTTACTATGAAAAAAAAATGAAACATGGGGATTGTACAATTATTTTTTTCATCTAAAACCAAGATTAATTTTATGGAAAAGCCCCCTCTTGAAAGAAAATTACTTTTGAAAGGTAACCACCAAGACATTTTTTTCTCCATGGTTTCCATCCTATGATTGTAGCCATACAATACACCCCAATGATTGTAAAACCTCACATCAGAGGTCAGTCTTTAAGGTCTTATGTATGTTATTGACAGGAAATTATTTTAAGTCAATTGCAAAATGGCCTATTTTCACTTATTCTTTTGGGGAAAGGTAATATTGGGATAATGTGGATAAGTTATTTAAATGTTTTTCTTATTTGAATCCTAAGTTTTTGAATTAAACTTTTTTTTAATGGTAGAGTGGTTTTCTTCTTTCTTATTTTAGTTTTTCTTTTCTTTTGAGAGTTGATTGTTTATTAAGTTGTTGATCCAAAACTTCCTTTGATGAATTTTATATTCACAATTCAAATGAAATATTCCATCAGGTTGAAGGAATTCTGTACTTTCTCTTTAATTCTGGGTTGACATTTGCCTTTTACCTCAGAATATATTTTCCTTGTAAATTGGAGTCAGAGATCATTTCTTCAATTAGAGCTGTCCCAGAATAGACTTAGTTTGTCAAGTGGGAAACAGTCCTCTTATAGTGTCACCTCTCAAAGTCAGAGCAATATTAGATGGAGATTTCTTAGTCAGCTTTACAACGTAATTGTTAATTTTTTCCAATATGAATATTTTCCCTTCCATCAGACAATGTTGAAGATTATTATATATTATGAAGAGCTGGATTTAAGAACAAGAAAAGCAAACAAACAAAAAACCCTGTAGTTTACCCAGTGACTCTGCCTTAGAATTTTATATTTGAACCATTATTGATTATGAATGTCTGCTGAATATGCATTATGCAAGTAAAAAGAAAATACCCCTAAGACCACACACACACACACACACACACACACACACACACACACACTGTATTATCCATAAGTTCTGAAGCTACACAGCTATTTTGAATGTTTTTGTCAGTAGCAGGGTCTCCTATAATAAAGTCATACTCTGACATTTAATTAAAAGTACAATGCATACATAGATTTTTGTTTTCCTTAACACTATGAAAGTAAATCATTGTAAAGAATTTTGGAGTGTTTTGGCTTTGAGAGAGAGAGAGAGAAAGTTGGAGGCCCTGTTGTCTGGGTAAGTACCTCAATTGCTAAGTGTCTCTAGGGCCACTTAAGAGAACAGGAGAGAAAAAGATTTTTAATAGAATATTAAATTTGCATTGAAATACCATCTTACTGCAGTCTAAACAGCTGTCATCAAGAAATCCAACAGCAAATGTTGGAGAAGATGCAAAGAAAGAGGAACCCTTATTAATATAACTATTATGGAAATCAGTTTTCAGGTGCCTCAAAAATTAAGAATAGAGCTACCATGTGACCTAACTATTCCAGTCTTTATTTATGTCAAGAGAACTGCACATTCTGCCACAGATATTCATATATCCATGTTCATTGCATTTATACATCTCTATTCACTATTGCAATGAAATAGAACCAGTCTAAATGTCAATCAACACATGAATTGATGATAACAATCTGGAACATATAAAATAGAATACTATTCAACTCTAAAGAAAAATAAAATGACCAGATTGCAGGAAAATGGATCTATTTAGACTGTTTAATTTTAAGTGAGATCACTCAATCTCAGAAAGAAAAAAAACCTTTTTTTCCCTCATATGCAAAATATAGCTGTAATGTTATATTCATGTATATAAACAAATACATGTGTGTAGTACAGCATATAGAAAGGAGACTAAAAAGGATAGTTTAAGTGATGAGGAAAATGAAACCAGTTAAAGAGATGTAAACTAATTTTTTTCTTTTAGCTTTAACTCTGGTGTGTGTGTGTGTGTGTGTGTGTGTGTGTTATGTAAATGCATAAAAACATAATTGATACTGTCTGTGCTTCAGAATGGTTCCCTTTCTGAAACTGCAATTAACCTGAATTTCTTTTTAACTTATTTAAGTTTTATTTGCATTAGTATTTTGCCTGATGTCTGTTATGAGAGGTCAGATCTTGGAGCTAGAAGCAATTGTAAACTGCCATATGGTATTAGAAGTTGAATCTGGGTCATCTGGAAGAGCAGTCAGGGCTCTTAACCTCTGAGCCATCTCTAGTCCCTAGCCTGCACTTCTTAAATTATTCAAATGTGACAAAACAATCTAGGCATATTTCTGTAGGTAGAATTTTTTTAATGAAGGCAAAACAAATGTTTAATAGAACAAAATCTGAAGTATTTGTTAAAATTCTTGGGATACTTTCTGGCACACTGTACACATTATATGTCACGGCTGCCGTTATTACCACTGCTGCCTCTGCTTCTGCTAATCCAGCTACAACTCTTACTATAGTAAGAACTGCTGGTACCTGCTCATTTGCCAAATCTAGTTACTTAGATTGCAACTGATTTCATCATTTACATTTTAGCTCCACTGAAGTTGATGACATGATCCGTAAGTCTACAAACCTGTTGCTGACCAGGACTCTGAGCAACTCTCTGCAGAATGTCATTAAGAGAAAGAACATTGGCCTTACTGAGGTAAAGTGGCTCTTAGTGAAGGTGATCATGCCAGATGTATTGTGCATGTACTTTGCCTATGTTTATTATTGATGCCAGGGATCTTAGCACTTGGGTCCCTTGGTCAATGTTAGATTTACTTGTCTTTTATTGTTTTTATATCTTCCAGATATGATTGGTAATTGCTCTATCACCACATTACCTATTTAGCCAAAGCCTGGTGATTTGTGATTGAAGTCCAAGAGAGGAAGTAATCGCTTACTGCCTCTCCTAGTAAAGTGAGAAAGGTCCTTTCACTCATTTGTGGTGAAGATTTGACATACTGAAACCTAGTCATAAAACCAGAAGTTATGTGATTTCCATTCCTTTGGAAATTTAGGGTTTCATGATCACATCTCACCTTGCCTCTCACTGAAGGTACTGTGCCTCAAGTGAGAGCTTAGGCTAAGGAAATTTTTTCTTCAGCAGTTACAGGCTGTGGACCATCTGTTTCTTACAGATATAGTGCAGATTCAGTGTCAGTTCTGCTAGGAATAATGAAGATTTCTAATTACACAATGTCAAGAATTATGGTGGAATTCAGAAAATGATTAGTGATACTATACTGTACTGTACTGTACTATACTACACTGCACTGTACAGTACTGTACTGTTCTATACCCATTTTATGTATATATTATGCCAACCTGTACCAAAAAGAAATAGATGAGTACTGGCATGGAGTCTTTCTTTCTCTGCATTGAGATTAAGAACACCATGCAGTATGACACTGGCTGTGATGGGGCTATACTTACAGCAGTTTTTAAAAGTTGGAAGTCCATCTAGGCATGATTTAGTATCTTCTCCTCATTCTCCTCCAGTTTTTACTATTGCTTGGAATAGAATTGTCATGGATTAACTTTCTGTATCTGAAAATGGTCCAGCTTTTTTTTTTTAAATCAAGGAATCTGCAAACAAGGAAAAGTGGGAGTAGGGGTCAGAAACTCTTCTGTTGTTAATTAGATTGTATTGTTTCCTTTACGAATCTCAGTTGGGAAGGTCTGTACTTTGTCATCTCTATCTTCATAATGTTTCTTCTCCCAGTGAATACATTCTAAATAATAAGATAAATAGTAAAGCATCAGGTAGAGTATGTGCTCGGTTCCTGAGGACACATCTTGACATAGACACACTTGATATGTCATAATGGGACATCTCGTTCTAATCTTTTGGTTTCTCCTGATTTAAAAAATCCATTTTATACTAGACCTGACAAGCACTGTTTGCATGTCCATACCCAAAATGCTTAGTAATAGCAATGGTATGTTCTGGTATTCTCTATGGCCCAAATACCATTCTAAATATTTAGTATGTTCACTTAATGTTCACACAGTACAATGAAACGTGATGACATTGTCCCCATGTAAACATAAAGCTCAGAACTTTTCACAGAACACATGACTGAACTAAGGAGCAGCACTGGAACCAGGGAAGCCTGGGTAAAGGCAGAATGTATTCACTGTATTTTTGCATCCATATTGATGTTAATATCTATGTTTTGAGCTAAAAGACAATGAATATGAGTAATTTTAAGTTCTGTATCAGTATTTAGTTCAGCATAAGCTTTGAGATAACATTTGAAAAGGGTTTTCTTCTAAAAGAAAAACTGAAATAAGCTTTGTTCTTTGCTCTCTCTGTTACTGGAACCATTAGAATCAAAGACTGGTCCTGACAGCCTTAGCAAGTGCGGCTCAGTTACACATCCTCACAGGGTCAGTCACAGAGACAAGAAAAAGGAGATTAATTTAGTGTCCACATTGGAAAGGTGAGCAAATAGATCCAGTTCATCTTCACATTGAAGATGAGCTCCACATTCATCTTTAGGATCCTGGCATGAAGATTATGCATATGTAAGAAGTTCTGGTCTACGTGTGGTCCTGCTTATCACTAACCCAATATTGTCTGAGTTCCAGTCTGTGCTACAAGAAGTTTTCAGTTGTCAAGTTGCATGACATCTCTTTCTAGGAGACAAGTTACCCCTCTGGTTGGCACCAGCCCTTTTTTCCCCTAGCATGTAGTTAACTGGGGGAAAGTTCTAGTTCTCTGAGGCCCATTATCTCAGTAGTCTGATAACTGAAAGCAAGATACTAGTGTCTCCCTTTAAAATATCTTTTCTCCTTTCATTATGTATACATTTCACAATAAATTAACTTAAAATATTGTAACTGGCCTGGCAGAAATGATGATATATGTAAGGAAGCAGATCCAGAGGTGTGCTTGTAGGTCATAGCAAACATACAGACTTAGAGTTGTGATTATATTAGCCCCCGGCAGACCTGAAACAACAGCTGCCACTTTTGTTTTTGTTGTAATTTAGGCAAATGACCACATAGCTGTGTCCTGTTATGTCTCACACACCCATGCCACAACAGCAGGGGCAGTGCTCAAGTTAGTTATGTTAGGATACTTTATACTTAAGTCAAAAATTTGAATGAAACTTTGGAAATTTGAACTAGCAGTCCATTTATTTTGGTATTTTACTTGTTTTGTTCCTGGAGATGCATAAATTGAATAATAGATAAAGCTTTTTGAGCTGTTCTGAGATGAGAGGGAGATAAAATCCCTTACAGTCTTAGGTTAATTCATTCTTGTAAATGAGACTAGTATTGCTATTACTATTTAGTTTTTGTCTCCTTGCAGATTTAGCAGTTGGTAGCCATTAAAAGTTTGTGGCTTCTTAACTTATAGCTTTGGGTCAATCCTCTGGAAGTTTTGGGATGGTGAATTCTCTGCTTCTGGAAACAAGACAAAGCAGATCTAAGACAAATATATATTACAAGTTGAGAACTAAAACCTGCTAGGAACAGATGGCTGACATTATTTAAGATGATTACATTTCTTTTCTGGAGTTTTCCAGAATAGATTACTGGCTATACTGTCTTGGGTCCTCTGAGAGTGTGTAGGGGCAGTGATCTCCACAGGGCATTCTGTGCTACAGCTCTCTGACTGTGGTCCCTACAGGGTGTTCTGTGCTCTGGTTCTCTGACTGTGGTCCCTACAGGGTGCTCTGTGCTGAGGCTCTCTCACATCTACTCTCATACCAGCAAGGACAGATGGAAAACTTCTTGTTCCTAGTGGGATTTGTTCATTTATTTTCAGTGTGTGAAGGGGTTTTTGTTTTGCTTTTTAATAGATAAGGCCTTGCTATGTAGCCCAGACTGGACTCAAACTCAATTTTCATGCTTTAGCCTCCTCATGGATTGTGACTAAAGTGACTTCTGTCATTTGGTTATAAGAGTTGCTGTTTGCAATATAATTTTTTTCTTTGCTGGACTGCTCATAGGACTTTATATAAGACATAATTAACATGTATTATGTTGATAATTCTGTGATCTTGAAACACTGTCACAGATAATTTGAAATGTTAGTTGGGTTTAATGATAAAATGGAAGGTGCTCAGACTTTGATGATAGTCTGTATCTCGAGTTGCTTTATTTCATCCTTCAGTGTAGAGTTAGCCTCTCCCTTGCAAAGGTTTCGAAGCTGTCATTCAGGAGTGGAGATCATCAGACCTTGCTAACAGACAGTGTTCCCTCTGAAAATGACATGCATGTGTTATAAACCTAGAATGTTTAAATAGTCTATTCTGTGCTTGGCAGTAAAACATAAGGGGTGACTGACAGCCCGCTGATTCAATTCATGGTGATCTCATGTGTTGACAGATCTTTTTAAAGTCATGATAAATTACTACTGTGCCCAGCATAGCCGCCTCCTTTTTCTTTTTTTTTTAAACTGCCAAAATCCTGCAAAACAGAACAATTTTCTCTTTGACTGCCCCTGTTTTTTTTTTTTAATTTCTATAGCATGACATGATTCCTCTTATTATTAGAATTTCTTTTGACAGACAGAATGTATTCCTTATAGGTAATTCTGATTTTAAAATTACAACCTCTAGTTCTCCAGTTTAGCTATCTTCCATTTATGCCCTTATATCAAGACAACCTTGCCACTAGCCACCTTTCATCCTTCCTGGGGGACTGTTGGAACCTAGTAGTTTTAGGGGGAGGGGTGCCATTTTCTTTAGTGATATAGATACCAGTAAGTTGCCTTTGCTCCAGTAAATTACTTCCCACCTAAACTGGGTAAGTAGCTCTAATTAAACTCAGCGGGTCAAAGGCAGACAGAAGACATGGAGGTAGGAGGGAGACTTGTTGGGAAAAAGGGCTCCAGTTACAGAATAGGATGATGGGGATTGAAGGGCTGGAAATGCCTAAGATTTATTATGTAGTTGTGTATAACTCAAACAATTTAAAGTTTTACAAAGAATGGTTTGATTTAGATGATCTAAGTGTGATTTTTGTCCTTTGAAGGAGAAACTGAATCTAACAGAGTTTAATGAATTGCTTATTTTAAGGGGTATGCTTTTTCTTCCAGAGTACTTTTTTTTTTTTTTTTTTTGGTTTTTTGAGACAGGGTTTCTCTGTGTAGCTTTGAAGCCTATCTTGGCACTCCACCTAGAGACCAGGCTGGCCTCGAACTCACAGAGATTCACCTGCCTCTGCCTCTGCCTCTGCCTCCCCAGTGCTGGGATTAAAGGCGTGCACCACCAACGCCCAGCTCTCCCAGAGTACTTTAATGTTGGTGTTTGGGAAACAGACTGAGAATATTGGGAAAACTATCAAGATCAGGGGATTTGTCTTCTCTGCCTTCTGTGTTCAGGTCCTTTTTCTTATAAAGTAAGGTAGTTTATTGGCTTCTCCCAATCTAGACTAACATGTCTGTATGTTCCTTAGGCCTACTTTTGAAAATTCTGTTGCTTTTTCAGTTACACTTATTATTTTACTAGCTGTTTATTCATTTGATTCATTCAGAAATTATATTTCTTTTGTAGGGCCTATGATTAAGAATAGCAGCTTTTATCTTAGTTTAACATTTTTAAAAAAAATATATTTACTCCATAGTGACAAATACTGTTTTAAATCAGGAATACAAGATGCTCCAACAGACTGGGTTGTTTTCTTGGAGGACTCTTCCTGTAATGTAGCCTGTGGAGCACCCTGTTAACGTCTCAGGTAAATGAGTATTGCATATGCTTACTGTTTTCTAGCTTGTCCAGATTATCATCAATACAACACACTTGGAGAAGTCCTGTAAATACCTGGAGGAATTCATCACCAATATCACTAATGTACTTCCTGAGACGGTCCACACCACCAAGCTCTATGGTACCACAACTTTCAAGGTGAGAACACATTAGCATAGAGGGGATAGTCATGAGCACAGCCCATGGGCATAGTCTGGGCCATTTCACATGTGGCTTCATTTCCACAAGATGATTTATGGGATGTCTTAAGAATAAGGGAGAGCTTGATTTGGTCTTCTTTTTTCTAGACGATAAATTTAGGTACAAGGGTGGTGTGTGTGTGTATGTTTGGAACAACCACAAAATTTCAACTACATCTTCTAGATAGTGTTGATATAGCTGACATGAATATCAACTGTAGTTCTGTATTTGGTAACACTCTCCTTTCTGTGTCTAACTTTTTAAATCTTAATTTTTAGTGACAAGTCCTTACCCCAAATAGCCATTTTCTAATTATTTTACAAGGCCATAGCATTAGTTTCCACCAGCCTTAGATCAGAGAAAATGACACCTGTGTAAAACAGAAGAAGGTTTAGTGGTTGGCAAGTTTCAAGAGCATAAACACCTTCTCTTAGAAGAATCCTGTGAATCTTAATAAAATCCTATACATTACCATGTGGAACTTTTCAGGGGTATTAATCAAAAAAATGTTACAGCTTTAAATATTAGAAAGAGTGAATTTGATATAAAGATGAACCTGAGTGGAGACCAGGCCTTGTTACCCAGCTCTGGCCAGTCTAGAACTCTGTGTAGACCAGGCTGGCTTTGAACTCCTAGAAATCCACTTGTCCTCCTGAGTAGCTGGGGTTAAAGGCTGGCACCACCACAGTAGGTATGATTTGAGTTTTATTGTTATGTAATTGTTGTAGTTTTAAAACATGTTATGTAACACTCAAAATCCAAAAATGATGGCAATTAGATACATAGTAAGAGTTTTAACTATGATCCATGTCTTCTGTTGTTTCCCTTTTCCTATCCTTTTATCATTTCTCTGTGGGTATCTTCTCTCAAAAGTAGCCACCAAAGAAGAAATCAAAATCAATCCATATAGTGATTACAGTGTATGGTAGAAGGACTTTTGGAAGAATATAACTATCCACTATTGTTAGAAATGTGTGCAGTGTTGAACATGACCCAGTCCTTCCATTTCTGTGATAGCTACCAGACTGAGTGAGGTATTCACATGATGACCCTGGCATTCTTTTTTTTATTCTTTTTTTATTTAACTTTTTATTTAATTTTTACAAATTACCCACCATACCCTTCCCCCCTCCACTCCCCATAGAGGGTAAAGCCCTCCACAGGGCTCCCCAAATTCTACATCATCATCCTGGGCCAGGCCTAGGCCCTCCCCCATGTGTCCCAGATGAGAGCATCCCTTCACGTGGGATGGGCTCTCAAAGTCCCTTCTTTTTTTTTTTT